TGGACAACACTTTCCATCATATTTTTAAAACCCTTAGGAGTCAGTATAAAAATATCGTATGGAAAAGTGGGACCTTTTCATCCAGGAGCAAGAAGACAACACTTTGGTTTGGGGCTTTTTTTTTTTTTAATGAAAAGACATGGTTCCTGTAGGTAGTGTGAGTAGAAATCCCCTTCCTTTCCCTTAGCCCCCCACCATGAGCTGCATCCCTTTTCTTCTCCAGTTCTGGGATCTTTTTGAAGAGTTTTTCTCTGCTGCTGCTTTCTCTTAGCTCACCAGAATAGGAAATTTCCAAAACACAAAGTTTTTGACACATTTCTTCAGACTGCTTTCTGCAAAGGCTCCCACCTGGAACAGTCTTGTCCCTCCAGTGATGAGGGGGATCACCACTTTTTTGGACGTGGATGGGGTGGCAGCTGCCGTGGGAGGGAGGGAACGCACCAGCTGGCATGAGATGGGAGCCATCACACTGGTTTGGGCTGTCATTCCCGTCTGGGATGCGGTGGGATGGTGGCACCTTTCTGAGCACCTGTTGTGTGGTAGTGAACATGAGCTGTGAGGGATGGGTGCTAGCACCTTGTACGACTCTGCTTTTGCTTTCCTTACTCGTTAAGAACTGCAACACTTCCGTGTCGTACCATTCTTCTACAGAAAACGACTTCTCTAAAGAAATAATTGCTGTTTCTAGCAAGGGTGGAGCAATACCTGTGCTGGCTAGGGGTTTTCTCACTGGACAGGGTGGGTGTCTGGAAGCACAGAGGTGCAGATGACTTCTGTATCTTTGCAGTGCTTGAGACTGGCTCCATCTGTGACGAACATGGTGACTGCGTTCTTCAAAAGGATGAGCTGAATGAAAGCAGCCGCTCTCTTGAAGGTTTGCCAGACTCAACCCCTAGCAAATCCATCATTTGGTTCCTTCTCCTTTGCAAAGAGACATAGGAGAGGCAGGCCAAGACAGTAGGTGAAGAGGGAGATGATGATTGACATCAGCAGGGAGGTGTGGATTAGCGAGTCAACCATATGCAAATTTACACTATAGTACTAAAACTGCTAGACGCATGGCGGGCCCAGGAGTTAGAACCAAGAGCAGGGGGGAAAGGGTTGAACAAAGCACTGGCTCAGAGATCAGGCAGTGGGAGGAGAACTGGGTGCAGTGCAGGACTTTTCCAAAGGAAAATGAAATTTGAAGAAATGGGAAGTCGACAATGCTAATGACGCCAGGAGATGAACAGCATCAAAAGCCGTCCTGAGACTTGGCTGGAGTGACTGGTAGAAGCCCACAATAAGGAAACTGTGTTTTAGATTTTTTTAAACTATGAAATGTTTTTAGTTGTTTAATCTTTTCCTTTCTTCCCACCCCATGCTGTTGCTTCGGAAGAATGTCGTTGTGGCTCAGAATTGCCTCCCACTTGTTGTCATATGCATTTTGTGTTGCATCAAACAAAGGAAGGCACTGGCAGTACGTTTGCTGGGTCTTGCTAGTAGCACACCCACATTTTTTTCCTCCTAAAAGAGTTGATTGCCCAAACACTTACACTTTTGTAGACAAAGAATTCAACCAAGGAGGAAATATGCTAATAATTCTCTAAGCTGCTAATAACTGCAGTTTACTAAAGTGCAGCAGCATTGTAGAAATGACGCTAATTACCCCGTTGCATCTTGACTTAAACAGAAATGAATGCGCATTCAGAGACTGTGTAAATGTAACAGTAACTTCTGGAAAATCTGGGTCTAGATGAGCCATGTATGGGTATCACTGTGAATGCTGTATTGCTGACTACAATTAGGATTGAATGCAGCCCTTTTCCCATTTACAGGCCTTTGTAACGGTGCAGGCTTTGAAAAGCCTCCTCCCCGTAGGTGGCAAATACAAAGCTGTTGGTACATACTCATTACCGAGTAGCAAAAGCAGACCCCTGGCAAGATCACCTCCTTCTGCCAAACAGCTGAGGCAGGGGACATGGTGTCATCATCCCAACATGTGCCATTCTTCCAGACCCAGCCAGTTATCCTGGACAGGCTCTGCAGCCTGGACTGTCTTGAAAAGCTTTATTTTGTCAGCTGCTTCCATCCTTATGATCTTCTCAGTTATCTTCTTCAGGAAATTCATCAGTAGATTGACTTCTGCTCCTCACAGGAGTGTCTGGAGCATACTCTCATTGCCATGACCTCACAAAATTGCCCCAGATTCTGCCAGAATGTGTTGAGGGAAAAACCGGGTGGTTTTTTTAATCGTATTTTTTTCCTCCTCTACCATTCCTCCCTGGCTTCTCTCCCCTGCTGGGAGCCCTCCTCCTTGCTCGGCCACTAATCCCCAGCAAAGAAAGGCTCCCTCCCATAAGTAGCAATGTTTCCTCCTAGGTTTTACTGCATAATTCTCTGTCTTACTACATAATTACATGTGCCACACTAATTGCACAGACACATGCACTTTCAGAATTATGTACTGACATAAATGTGTGCCCTGATTAGACAGTTACGTGTGTATGCCTTAATTGTGAGCTCTGGATTGCAGCTATGATGAGAGGATGGGCTCTTACTCATTAAGAAATCGGTAAAATACTGCACCTGTGTTTCTGTTCCCTAACTTGAATACCCAAACGTGGTATGATCTGAAATGGTTCATACATTAAAGCAGTGATGGAAGTAGATGTGCTTTAGTGAATGGGCTCTCTGGGACAATCTGGGGCGAATTCCCAGCTGCATGGCTTGGAGGTACTAGAAGCACAGGACTGGGGGTCGTTCGGCTCTGCAGGGAGATGTGTTTCAGTGGCTGTGGTGCACAGCTTCATTACCTGATCTTCTGCATCCGTTGAATATGTGTTCTTACAGCTACAGAGGACATGTAGTTAGCTACCAGTGTCATAGTAGCTTTGATCTGTCTGATTAGAAGCAAATGTTAGCAGGAGCATGATGGCATGCTCATGGTTTGTGTGAAAGGGGACAGCCAGCAGTCCTGCACTGATGTTTATGTCTCTGCACAGACTGCTCCAGGTAGCAACGTCCACTGTTTTGCACCAGCAAGTCAGGCAGGAGAGATTTAAACCCAAATACCAGAAAGGAATAGCAGTCTTAGTCCTGTCACCTGAGTACCCATTGTGTCATGATACCTGGAGCTCTGCAGGCAAATCAAGAGCAATTCTTGCCCTTTCAGGTTAAAAGAAAGTTTATTCTTTCATTCCAGCTGTGCCCACTCAAAAAAGTAAGGACTTTTTATACTGGTTATTCTGTATTTGTTTGCAGAACATCTGATATCTTGAATATATCTTTAATAGGACTAAAGAAGAAACTGGCCACATTTAGATATTTAAATGGTGAAAAATGTGATATGCTTTAAGAAAAGCACTGCTAGAAACTTCAGCTGGAGAAGTTCTAGGTTCAAGAAAAAGTGAACCAGTGAAGTATGTCAAGTAAAATATATAGACAAAAGCAGGTTCGTTCATTTTTTGTTTTTAAAGGTTTTTCCCAATTTTTAAGCACAATTAAGAAGAAAATACCTAATGGATGAAGCCAACACTGTCTTTAATGGTGTACAACTACATAATTAGACAGAAAACTCTTTCAAAGTGCTTTTAGAAAGAGAGCTCTTCTGGCTGGCTGGCTATAATTCCTTAAGGTGTGTCGAATGCATTTCACTGCCTATATAAACCCAGAGGCAATGTGATTGTTGAGGTCACTGGTAAGTTCCATTGTGCTCCTAGCTGATCATCTTCTGCTGCAGTGTGTACTAACAGCATGCAGGATAAGGGACAGCAAGGCGGGCGTGACTAGCAGACAACGGTGCCCTTGTTGGGTGGCCACTGAGTTCACAGGGTTTGATCAGTGCCGTTTGCTTCCCAAGCCCATACCTCACACATAGAAACATATGTAGAAAGGGAGGCGGACACCTCAGATACCAAGTTTCTGTTTTAAAATGTTAGTCAAAGTGAATAGATGCGTCACTTTTGGTTTTCAGGAGTTAGGAAGAGTTAGCAAGAGTTAGAAAGTTCTTTTTGAAGAATAATGTTGAAAATGCACTCTTCTTTTCTTTCGGTGTTACTTTTTTTGCCTTTCAGCAGTAAAGAATTATTGAAAAATTCATTGACATGTTACCAGCTTAATCAAAAGTTCCTTCAGACTTTACTCATGGGAGGTTCAGTAGACTGCTTGATGGGTAAAATCTGCCCATACCAGAACATAAATAGTGTTTTTTTCAATACCCTCCTTGAGAGCAGAGGCAACACATCAGGGAGAAATATGAATCCAATGCATCTGCACTGCAGATCAGAGCAGTGGGAGGGAGGAGAACATGACTCTGGTCCCTGTCATGCTCCTTGTGGTGGTCTTCATGCCGTGGGAGTTGCAAACACTTCCTGTCTCCCAGGTCCAGTTGGGTGTGGGTTTCCGTGTGGGATGGAGAAAGACCCCATGTCTTTCCACTGCTGTGTAATTCTACCCTGTGTTTGATGACCAGGATTGATCCACTGAGAAATGAACATTCCCTGCTGTTGTTATGTCCTTTTTCCTAACTTGGGATGAATCGCCTACTCTTCCTTCATGTTAGTGTCTGTTTCTGCAAAACAGGGACAGTAATACTTTTCATCTGTAGAAGCATTATAAGATTTCCCTTAGGTGCAGAAAGCATTTTTAAAATACCAAGATGATAGGTGTTGTGTACTGCATGCAGAAACCTTTGAAGAACCTAAACTGCCAAGCCATTAATAACTTGGAAATCCGAAGCTCATTTTTAGTGGCATGAAATAATGACAAAGTGAGGATGGTAAGCAGATGGGAGATACTTAAATGAAAGTTTGTTGTTTTAGTGCCTTGTCCAGCTTGTGGTAAGGTAACTTTCTATTTTTTGTGTTAATGATTTGCCTTGCCTTCCCACACTCTGAGGGGCTGCTTTAATCTCAAGTTTCGGAAGTGCTAGGATTTGCTTTCCAGATGGTGTTTACACTGTGTAAAATAAAATGTTGCTTTTTATGATTTCATCATAGTTTTGTTCTCTTTTATTTCAGAAATCTTCCAGAATCCCTGAGGATGACATCAGGTTGAGAAAAAACAGAGACCAAAACTGTGCCAATTTCTTGGAGCCAGCTACTGTGCTTGCTACAGAGGAAGAGAAAATGGAAATTGAAGTTCCAGTTTCTGAACATAAAAGCATCACCACAGTGGCTTCACCACATCCCATAGACAATCCAACCCACTTCTTTTCCCCTGCTGCCAGCCACAATGGACTTAAGGACAGGCATGAATCTCTGGACAGTGAAGTTGCTAAAGAGATCAGATACCTAGATGAAGTGCTGGAGGCAAATTGCTGTGATTCTGCTGCAGATAATACTTTTAATGGGACATCCTCCCCTGAACCGAGTGCAGTCTCCATTATGGATGGCTCAGAAGCATCTGTTAAAGTCAGTGATGATTCAGTACCCAGTGAAAGGGAAGAAAATGTAGCCGACAAGCAGGCACCCTTGGTAGTTGAACCACGTGAAGCTAGCATAACTGATGAGAACCTGAAATCTAATGGCCATTCCTTGGGTGGACTGAAGGAAGACACTAGGGAAAGTCTAAAGGTGCCAGGAAGTCCAACGTCTTCAAACAGTTCTATAATATCCTCTAAGGATGGAGAAACAGCTCTTACAACCCTTAAGAAAGAGGCTAAGTTTGAACTGCGAGCCTTCCATGAAGACAAAAAGCCCTCAAAGCTCTTTGAAGATGAGGAAGAGAAGGAAAAATACAGGGTCCGCAAAGTGAGACCATCAGAGGAAATGATGGAACTTGAAAAGGAGAGAAGGGAACTCATTAAAAGCCAGGCTGTCAAGAAAAACCCCAACATTGCTGCCAAGTGGTGGAACCCTCCCCAAGAGAAGACTCTAGAGGATCAACTGGATGAAGAGCATCTGGAGTCCCACAAGAAGTACAAGGAGCGCAAGGAGAGACAGCAGCAGCAAGGTGCAGCACCAACATCCCCCAAACAGATCAGCTGCTCCTTTGTACCAGAGCCAGTCAATATCAAGAAAGAGGATATTGTCACAGAGCAAATTGACTTCTCAGCTGCCAGAAAGCAGTTCCAGCTGATGGAGCATTCAGGTCCATCTCAGGGTCAGGCCACACCGAGGCGGTCAGGAACACCCAAAATGTTCTCCATCAAACCCTTCTACAAAAGCCTCAATTCTCCGCATGTAGACAGGCCACTGTCCTCTGTGACAAGACCTGTTTCAGTCTGTGGGCAAACAGGACAGCTTGAGGGTAACAATGCCACTGTTGTCAAAGCACAGAAGGTCTTCTGTACCTCAGAACACGATACAAGTGCTCAGACTACCGCTGCTGACCCAGTAAGAGAGTTACCATGCAGTGATAGCCCCAGAGTTGGACAGGCCTCAAAACTGTGGGCGGAGGATGGAGAATTCATGAGTGCGAGAGCAATCTTCACGGTGGTGAAGGATGATGGACAGGGCGTGCTAGACCAGTTCCCAAAGTCAGCCAGCGCCTCCTCCCCTCCAGAGGAGCTTGACTCTGGTTTGGATGACTTGTCTGTCAGGTCTCAGGATACCACCGTCTTGGAGACCCTTTCCAATGACTTCAGCATGGATAACATCAGCGACAGTGGTGCCTCCAATGAGACCATGAGCGCCCTGCAGGAAAGCTCGCTGGCCGATTTCTCCCTGCCACAGACCCCACAGGCTGACACTCCGGTGGAGTGCAGGGGCGAAGGCATCTCCAAGTCATTCAGTGATCCAGGTTGTGACTCGCCCTCCTCCACCTTGGCAGACTCCATGCTGATTGACGACCAGCTGGAGTACCACGCTGGCCTGCTGGTTCAAAACGCCATCCAACAAGCCATAGCTGAGCAGGCAGATAAAGCAAACTGTAAGGAAGAAGAAATCCCAGCGGAGGAGGAGATCTCAGTCAAAGAGCAGCCAGCCACCACCGGGCCAGCTCCAGCCTCCAAGGAGCAGCAGAACCCAATGTTTCAGCCACCCCAGGTGTCTTCACCTGTTCAAGACAAAAGGGACACCATACCAAAGACTTCAAAAGAGGAAGACTCAGGACTCAGGGAAGGGAAGACTTTGCAGCAGTCGCCCGTGTACTCAGCCAGCCAGCCATTCCTTGTGGAGGAAAATAGGCACGAAGTCAGCTATTTCAGCAAGTATTCAGAGGCAGCTGAGCTGAGGAGCACCGCCTCCATCCTGGCAACGCAGGAGCCTGAAGTGACCGTGGGCCCTTTCAAGTTACGGTCGAGGAAGCAGAGGACTTTGTCAATGATAGAAGAAGAGATCAGAGCTGCCCAGGAACGAGAAGAGGAACTGAAGAGGCAGCGGCAAGGTCTGCAGTTGGCACCCAGCCCTGTTATGAAGAGTGCACCACCCATGCCCACCAGAACCGTGTCTTACAAAACTGCACCAGGTAAGAGCACAAAGCGTCAGAGGGAAAGTGAAATGTGACTGAAGGGTCAGGTCAGATTCAGTCTTATGTCATTTTTGAGTGAATACATTGTTTTGCAGGGGGCGGGAGGGTTGTCATGACTTCATCTGCCTGGAAACTGCAGGCAGGAGAAGGGCATGGGACAACCTAACTTTCCGTCTGTGAGCACTCCTGAAGACATTTTTGTTTTTTCCAAAACGTAGCACGGAAGTAACTTACATACCCTGCTGATTGTGATGAGAAAACCCTGCACTCTATTCATCCCCTGCCACACTGTAGTGTGATATGTCTATCACTGTGCGGCTCAGACCACCCACTGAAATTTAGGATCATCACAAGGAAGGACAACAGCGGTTTTTGCAGCTGTGTGGCTATTTGAAAGACAAACATACAAAACATTTTTAATAGGCTTTCTGTTCTCTTGCATGTCATTAAGGAAGTGCAACGGTAGTGGGGATTTAAAGATTTTGGGGGCTGGCATCAGATTTCTTTTTGTGTGTGTCTGTTTTGCTTTCTGTTTTCAGGTATTTCTTGGTCTTCTTAATGAAGTTTGTCTGGTAATAAGATCTACAGAGCTGTGAGTTGCCATGTATTTCAGCTGGTGTCATTCACTACTGAATTAAACAGGCATCACAAATGAAATGCTTAATAGATTCAGTAGAAGTCCTCCTCTGACTGATCAGGTTCTGGGTCCTTGTGGTGGCATTCACAGTGGTTACAGCATACCACTCTCCTCCTTCCCCTTTTCAAAATATAAAATCAAGCACTCATGCCTTCTTAATATAACATAAAAAAAGAAATCTAAAAAAAAAATAGAAACACATGCTAGGCTTATTTCTGTGTAGTGATTTTTATGAATATAGACCTGCATATTCTTTGCAAGTACTTAGAAGTTTTTGTTAATAGTGATCATTGTGAAGAAGTATTAATTTTACCCAGAGTACTTAAATTCCGTCCTTATTTCCACTGGTGTAAATCTGAGCCAGTGATGCCACCAAAAATGGTGCAGGGTGATCCTTTTCTTTTGAAAATCATGGCAAACTTGAATAAGGTCTGGATTTAGTCCATTACCCAGTCTGACTGTGAACTTGCAGTGTTATGCAGCACATAAATAGCTAATACTTGGTTTTGTTTCTTCTGCAAAGAGGATGATTTTAACCTGTTTCTTGCCAAAAAATGTAGCAAATGTCGATAATTTCTTTGAAGTGCTATTGTTATTACTCCTATAGAACAGCATTTTTGATAGGGAGTCTTCATAAACTGAGGTGTTTTGAGCAATGTCTGACACGATGTGAGAGACAGGGCACCACAGACTTCAGCTAGGAGGGCTCATTGTGTAAAGGTGTGCTCATGACCGCTTTCAAAAACACCATCATCTGTAGCTGCAAGTGCTCGAAATGAGGCTGGTATTGGTTGCTTTTTACTCACAAGTGTTGCTGGAAGGGCTGCTGACACTAATGCTTATTTTAATGGAGCATCTGGGAAAAGTGTACTTCTCATTCTTATTTCTCTACACAACAAGGCATTTACTTTGTGTCTGATGTTAAAACATTCATTGTAAATTACATTCTAGTGAGAATGATAAACTTGTATTTATGGATATGAATCATTCCAGACAGTTTCCTTTAAATGTCCAACTGCCATATGTTCAAGAAAGAAAATTGGGATCTATTAGCCAATGACTCAAGCTACTGCAATTTGCAGCTGGTGACAAGGCAAAGAATTAACTTCTAGGAAAAGATGAATATGTGGCGATGTGTAAGGATGTCATTGATCAAAAAGACTACAAAGAGCATTGCCAAAGTCATTCTTAAATCTTCTACTTGCGGTGCTTTCTAAACAGCGGATGTGCTCAGCAGAGCTCTCAGCTGGCAGAAATTAGCTCGGCATCCTTAGTGTTGCAGGGTGCATACCCTCAGCTCATCTCATCTTTGCTGTCCTTTAGCCAGCTGTGTTGCAGTTAAAGCTTGCAGGCATTCTTCAAAATAGGGAGAAGGGGTACCATGCAATCCCTTGGAAGATTGCAGCAACTTTCCTTTTATTTTAATATTTACCGCATCTTTTCAATACTTATAAAAACAGAGTCAAAAGATGATTCAGCAGAGGCAACAAAATCTGGCTGTAAGTCTTCATTGTGGCCAGTTACAGAGGTGATTTACAGAGCAGAAAAGAAAATTGGCTTGTGGTAGGCACAGTAAGGAATATGCTGTAGAACGTGTCTGATACTGTAATCTGAATAGTAATCTGAATCTAGTTTCACATAGCAAAATAACAATAATAGTAATAGTAGTAGTAATGATGATGATGAAAAGAAGAAACAGAGGTCCTTCTGTCATCAAATTGCGTTTCTCAAAGAAAGAATTGGCACTCTTCTTTTAACATCAGGATACCTCAGCAGAAAGGGATTAGGGGGGCAAGTCTAAATTTGAAAAATCTGTTGCTAATTCTTAAGTGGGGAAGTGTAAACTCACCAGAACTCTTTTGAGGAGGTGCAGGAATTAACTTAATTAGCAGTGGCCTACCTATCAGGTTGCTTTTAGTGATGGACTGGGCAGAGTAGCTTTACTAGGACTCGTGGTGGTCCCTGGTTATTTATTATTCCTGCCCCACTTCACTGCTTTGAACCGTTGTTATGTGGATAACAGAAACACAAACCACAAAAAAGGACTGCAGTGAACTGAACTGCTATTTTGACTGAAGTGTGGAAGATTAACACAATTCATGTGGGTGTATGTGTGAAATAACTGCTAATTACTTTAGATAGCAAACAGGCTATCTAAAGGGTTTTTGCCACCCTGGCATGCAACTTTCATACAAGTGATGGTAACACTAAACTTAGTGTCTGCCAACCACCCAGCACAAGCCACCATGGTTCCTAGTAATAAACTTCTGTACTGCTAGCAAGTATCCTTTAAAGCTGTTTGGGATGCTTTGAACCAGCCTTTTAACCCACCTCGGATCACTGGAGCAAGACACAGAGTAATTTCAGTGAAACAACTACTACGTGTTGTGTGCACGCAGGACAAGATCTTCTCTCCAGGGTACTTCTGGAAAGGTGAAGGGAAGAACCTATGCAAACTCCTTTCCCAAAAAGTTGGGTTTCCTGCATGAGGAAACCCAAGGAAGACCAAAAAAATGCTTGAGCATGGCTAAATGGAGAGTCATTGTGGATCCCAAAATATTCGTGGAGCTGTATTTAAATTTGAATGTTTCCTGTGTTGTTTTGCTGCAGCACCTTCTGCGCTTGGTGAGGTGTTGAGCAGCTGCACAGCAAGCCAGTGGTTTTTCTCCTATTATCTCCTACACCATGCCTCCTGGGCAGAGCAGCTGGGGCTGTTCGATAGTTTATTTGAACAGGATGGTCAGTGTGTGACACAAGAGGATCCAGCGTACGTTTGGTGGTGTAATTCCCGTGTTCCTTTTATTAGGAGTACTTAGACTATGAAGAACTTGTGTCTAACTTCCTGTAGTGCCTGACTCGAGTAATCCTGTTCGTCAGAGGAGGTATGAAAATCATTATATGAGGGGTCTTGGTTCAGTGAAGGCTTTTCTGTTGGAGAAAAACCCTTTGTGAATATTTGCTGTCTCATGACTAGGCATGGGGGAATCCCTAACACAAGAAGCTATGCCTGGGAGAAGCTTTCCTGAAGCTGCCACATCTGCCTTTTGGTGTTTGGCACCAAAACGTTGCCAGGTGAGGCAGAAGGCACATTGCACTCCCTGCACTTGTCTGGAGGCACTCAGACCCACCTGCATGCATGTCTGGGAGAGCTGCCCACCAAGCAGTCATCTTCTGTTGTCCTCAGTTTATGAATGAGATGAGAGAATTTCAGTGGATGGCAAAAGTCCAGAGGGGGAGTTGCAGTTTAGAGATACAAGTGATCAGGTACCTTTAAATTTCAGGTAACTGTTCCCTCCAAAAGTGAGGGATGTGTGTGTGCTCTCGTCTTCTTTCTTCTCCTTGCTTTCTTCTCCTGAGTGACAACTGTGGAGCATAAACCTCTGTCAGAGGAGCCACTTCAGCCTGAAAACCATTTTCCGCTTTCATTTTTCACTAGTAAATACCTACACTAAGGAAACATCCCAGGTTCAACCGCAGCCTGAAGATACTTTTTGTACAGTGGGAGGAGAAGCAGAAACTTTGGGGCAAGACATTTCTAATATTTGTGGCCATCACAAAATTTTTAATGCCCTATATACATGTAAAGAATAAGGATCAGGTATAATACATATGCATGAACCCCTTTTTAAAATGAGAATTTTGAGAAAGGCTAGAGCAGAAATGGAGCCTTTGAGTTTATGGAAGATACTGTTTCCTCACCTCTTCATAAGCACCAGTATGAAAAAAGCAAAGTTCATCATTCTCTTCAAGGATTCCTCTGGAGTGCTCATCACTCACCCCCTGAACACCTCCAGGAGTGCCTTGACAGCATACTAACCCAGCTCATTTGTCATTTGCTCTCTTATTCCCTCCCTAGTGGAAAATGTGTATGAAGTGAAAGGATCTTCGAGAGGTTCTTTTTTTTAATGTTTGCTTGTTTTGTGTTTGTATATTCGTGTTGCTCACTTCGTGTTCAAGAAGACGAAAGAAGCTCACCTTTCACCTGGAGTGGTAATGAGAAGTATTTTTTTACATACTTCAACTATCCCCTGACTTCAGCACAGACTAGCCTCCTAAAACAATCTGTCTTGATGAAATACCTTATTTTCAAAAGTTTTCTTTGCTGCGCAGATATCTTTTAAAATGCCAACAGCATCTGTAAAATAGTTGCTCTTACTTGTGTGAAGCCCCGTTCTTCCCATCTCCTTTGTACCTTAGTTAACATTATATGATGGCCCTTGGTACCTGCTGGTTACTTAGTGGTGGCTCAGGCCCTTGTCCCAGGGCCTCACCTTGGTCACTCTTTGTTCTTGATATTGCAGCAAATCAGCTGAGCATCCTTCCTCAGCTTGCAGCGAGTCCTTGGACACCCGTCAGGCTCCACAGGGTGGATAAGTCACTATCACAGCCCCTCTTGCTCCCCAGAGCTGTGGAGAGGTTTTGGTTAGGAGAAAGCTAACCTGTCCCCAGCTTTTACACATCTTTGATTTTGCAGAGCGGTGTCAGGCGATGTCTTGCAGCTGCCAGACTGGGACACAGCAGCAGCTGCCCCTTCCCTGAGCTTTCCCTTCCTCTCCTCAGGGCTCAGAACGAGCGTTTTCCATAGGAGCAACTCCTGCCTGCCCCAAATAGCACAAGAGGCAGGAAATTAAGAGAAATCAAATTCCAGGAGCTTCCTACTAGATCCCTGAAGCCAGAGAGTGGAGGGAGCCATCGCCAGAACTGAAGTCACAGAATGTTTTTTGGAGTCCCTTTGAAAGAGAGAAAAAATGTAAATGTGTAGGTGAAGATTTGGGATGCTATAGCCCATACTTTATTGCTTGCAACAGCTCTAAAGGTGACCTCAGGGGACTGCCTTCCCCTTGAGGGGAAGACACTGCTGATAACTACCGTTAACTTGCAAGTGTGACCATCAGGCTGCAGTTTTTGCTGGTATCCTACAAGCGTGACCCTGTTTCCATTTGAGTCAGAGCACAGTTCGGATTTGGGCAAGGACCACCAGCAGTGTCTGTGTGCATCAGGTATGGGCATGGGACTGCAGAAGTAGAAAGTGCCTGTGATCATCGTGTCTCATGATGCTTTTATGCTGAATGACTCTTCTGCCTGAGAACAATACCTTATCTGGATGAAAATCTGCCAGAAGAAAATTAACCCAGCAACATTTCTAACATGATCTGAACTGGCAGAATAGGTCTACACTGGACTGGAGCTCTGCATGAGGTTCATAGAGTTTTTCTGTGGTTGTTCTGAGAGCCCTAAAGCCTCAGACACCCTGTCATCTAACCACAACCTCACTGATGGTTGTGCTGGTTGCTTGCCTTTCTGCCACTGTTGGCACTGGTAGGAGCTCTCTCTTCCACCTGCCTACCTGCTCTCGCAAGATTTTTAGGAACTTGAAAGAGACACCTACTCCTCTGTGAAAAGTCGTTGAAATGATGCTGTGAATTCCTGAGTTTTTAGTGAATTCAAACACGTACACAGAGAAAACGGTTGTATAAGCATAATTTCTTGTGGATACAAATCAACAAACCACTGTTTTGCTGTGGGCAAATCTTGTTTCTACCTTGGCTTCTATATTTGTGAAAAGGGAATTGTGGCACTGTTCAGGGTGACACTGCCCAGCATGCCCAGAACAGTTGCATGGTGCTGCAGGGTTGCTGCTACAATACAGAAATTGATGGGCCCTCCATCCAGGGAGGATGGATCTGCTCAGAGATATCCCCTTTCTAAAACGCAAATCCCCAAAGCCTACAGTTTGCATTGTTTTCCAGAGGGAGCGGGGTGGAAGGAGCTCTTTTCAGGCGTGAGGCTTGTCCGTAGGTCTGAGCAGCCTGTGATGGTCTGCATCCCTGGGGGAAAGCACAGAAGCTGGGCCGACATCTGAGAAGCCTGATTCTTCCTGCATTACTTGCATACATCCAAGACAGTTATTTATTAGTGTAAGAACAGAGCAATACAGCAAGATATCTGACCCTTAATCAGGCCTTCTATTTTCAGCAGACTTTTTTACCCACTGGACCTAATGGGCAAGGTGACGATCGATCGTCCTTACTCTCTCCTGCTGAGCAGTCCAAGCTGTCGCACATGGGTGCAGCTGGGCAGCTCAGGACCTGTTGTTGGCCTCTGCTTTGGCAACGTAACTCCCGGTTGTCTGTGGAGCCTGGCGCTGGTGCAACCCAGAGGAGAACCTGGGCCCATAGAAACTCCTCCTCCAGTCTCTGGTGGGGTCGTTTAGGGGGGGACGAATTCCCAGCCTCATCCCTGCACCGGGCAGCTTAAGCTAAGCCTGTAACAAGAAACTGGTGATGCTGGGTTTTTCCATACTGGTCAGAAATGAAACAAGCCCAGCAAGGGGATTTCTTGTAAAAGACCTCTGAAGTGTCAATTCAGGTTTCACTTCTCCCTTCAAGAATAAAGCCTGCTGATTCTTACAGGAGGTTTCAAGGCTGCTCTCTAGTGGCTACCACTGTCATGATGCTTTTTGGAGGGGCAGCTAGGGTTTTCATTTGTCTCAGCAACAGGAAGTTTCATGAAAATCTGCATGATTCTTCTGGTTACTTCACTTATTTGTAAGGGGTTTGGGGTGGGGGTTTTTCTCCTTTTTTTTCTTTCCCATCCATTCAACTGTCTTATTTCAAAGAGCTGCCATGCTGTGAAAAAGGGAAGCTGATCGTGGTTCAGCATTGCTTTCTCCTGTCATAGCTGAGGACCCCCGCACCTTATTCCTATGCCTATGACCTGCCACCGTCGTCCTCATTCTTCCCACCAGGACAAGCTGGGCGGCTCACCCTGGGTCGGTACCTGGTGATGAGAAACGCAGGCTGTCCTCCCTGGAGAAGTGTGGGTTGTCCAGCCCCTGAGCTCTCTCGCAGCTTGTTGCAGTGGTCTCCTTGCTCTGGCCTGCCTTTTACCCAGCTCTTCAGCTGCGGTCACTCTGCCTGAAACAGGCTCCCCTGGGTGAAATGGGCTCAGTCAGAGAGCAAGCTAACTTCTCTCTGACTTTTCTCCCATCAGGAGACTGAAGGGCCCTCTCTGAATAAGGGGCGTGTTGGACGGAGACCCCATCCTGCTCTGCCACAGGTCTCTCTCCAGGAGCACCCTCTGCGACTTGCAGGCAACAGCTGCAGGGAAGAGTAGCACCAGGGACCAACCCAAAGCCGTTCACACTTACAAAGCAGTTAAAAAGCACTGGAAGAAGAGAAAAAGCCAGCAACGCTTAACAAGATGCCTTCTTTGGACATCTGGCACATGGTCCCGGTGTACAGCGGTGGCACTCTGTGTGTTGTATAGTCTGAGCCAGAAAAAAAATCATCTTGCAGTTTTCCAGAATCTTACAAACATTTCCAGATCACTGAAGTGTGTCCTGTAGGAGGGAACGGGGGTAATTCAGCCACATACTACTGTAAATAATAGTGGTGGGTTAAATTTGCATTGTATCATTTGGTAACTCTTCTAGGTTTTGTAAAAAGATTTTGTAGTGTTTCGGTGTAGTACATTTCAGGAAGAAGGAGGGTGTTTTAAAAGCCCATGACCATCGTGATTTACCAGATTGTTTCATAAACTTCATTCCAAACTCTTTCTTCTTTCAAACCCCGCTGAAAATGCTTCTCCAGCTATCGTCTTTTGGAAACAACTTGTGAGTCCTTCAGCTTAGAAAGGGTCATTCCTTTTCATGTCATTGCAGGAAAGATAGAGAAGATCAAGCCTCCTCCATCCCCCACCACAGAAGGCCCTGTCTCGCAGTCTGATCTGCCACCTGAGGAGCCTGCGGGAGCCCAGCGACCTAAGAACCTGATGCAGACCCTCATGGAGGATTACGAAACACACAAAACTAAGAGACGAGAAAGGATGGACGACAGCAGTGTAAGTGCACTTTTCCTTTTCACTTGTTGCTCTGCAATAGGGACCATGACTCGCGAGAACCAACATTCAGACAGCAAAAATATTCACTTCACAAGAATCTGCTCAGATCACCTTGTGAGTGTGTAAGGATTTTAACACATTGTAAAGGCCAGTATGTTTGAAATGGAAGGATGACGGCCAATGGAGAGGAAGAGAGAGTGTCACTGCAAATATCAAAGGCAACCCATATTAAGTTTCTTTTTAATCAATTAAGTTAATAATAAGGGCAGTGGGTAGCTGCCCTGCAATTGGTGGACTCTGTTAATTCACACATCACCAAGACCCTCTAATGGGTTATTTTAGTGGCTCTTTGAACTTTGTGGATCGAGCATGTATTCATGGCTGTGTTCATAGACTCCCGAAGTCCTGTCCCAGTGTGCTCAGGATGCAGTGTAAGTAAGTGGATAACTTCCCTAGAAACCACCCCTTGCAGAATTGGATTGGGAATGTCTCAGAAATTAACTTGGATCCTTCGATGGGCAGCGTGCTGTTTCCCACCAGATTTGTTGTCTGTCGTCTTCCACACAAACAGAAAATCAGCCAGAATTTCAGTTTGTGAAATGCGTGCCTGCATTTCAGTCATTGCTGTAGTAGAGTTTAACCCAATTAAGGTGTTCTTTATTGGAGGCACTAATAAGAAGAGCTATGAATTTCATAGCTGGAATTATCAAAATTCAGGTGCACCCATTATACAACCTATTTCCCAACAAAGCACGAGGTGTTTCTTATTCAGACTCATTGTTACTATGGGCAATGAGTGCAGAAGGTAGTGAGAGATAAATGTGAAATAAAACTTCTTAAATGGACACAGTGTTTGCTGAAGCAGCCACAGTCCTCCAGGCATTTCCCAGAGATGTCAGAATGATGACCCCAGTGCCAAGGAGCTCATGCTCCAAATAAACTGCTTTCTAGTAACGTTCATTAAAGGTAGAGTCTTATTACATGTATAGAAGTAAGTGAAGGTTTGTAACGTGAATACTGCACTAGTCTGGCAGCTTTTAATCATTACTGGTGAATATTGCACAGTAGCATAAGATACTTAAAATCAGAAGGAATGCAATGGGGAGGGATCCTGTTGCATTTCTGCTGGTTAACTAAAACATAGTAGGAGAGCTGACTCAAAATGTAAACAGATTAATTTCCAGAGCACACCAGAAACTTTCTGGTCCCTTCTTCTACTGAAGCCATTGAAAAACAAGATCTTGTCATCCATCAGGCTCCTGCTGTCAAGTAGGAAGCCAGCTCGTGCACAGGAGTGTGCCTTGCTCTCGCAGCAGCATCCTGGGGCTGCGTCTTGGGAAGGAGCTGCTCTCTGGTTTCCCCTCCCTCCACAAAGCACCCAGTAAAATGGGGTGGCTCCATCTGCTCCAGTGGGTGCTGTTTTCTGGCATCTCCCCAGAGGATTGCTTTCCCTGAAGGGCGCTTGCAGGAGATATGTCACACCCTCATGCCCTTTGCAGAAGCTGGGAGAAACTTTAAAGAGGGGCATAAAACTCCTGCCGTGCAAACCAGAACTGGTCCTCGGGGAGTCCCGCAGCGAGTGTCTGTCAGTCTGGTGTCTTGAAACCTCAGCAACGGCGGAGAAGCTGCTCTGCTAAAGAGGTGACACTCAGCCGGTACTCACCCTGCGCTTCTCTTCCACCCCCGAGAAGAGTGAAGGTGACTTGCCCACCCCATGAAGCGGTGGCTTGTGGCTGAAGTCTTCTCCCACAGCTGTGATGGTCACATGCTGTTTGTCGTGCATGTTGTAGCACACAAAAGACATGTAAGATGTCATTAGATCTAACTCCCTCTGCTCGGTTACCCAAGTGCAAGTCCTCAGGTGCTTGCAGAGCTGCACATGTGCCCCCTAGAAAGCAGGCCACGATTGCATAGCCTCTGTGCAGTTTGAAGTGAGCCCTAATGTCCTGACCGGAGCAATGGTCTGGTGTCGTGGTTTAACCTCAGTCGGCAACTGAGCACCACGCAGCCGCTCGCTCACTCCATTTCATATCCGTTTTATATCACTCCATTCAGAGAATTGGAAGAGTAGAAGTGAGAAAAACTTGTAGGTTGAGATAAAAACAGTTTAATAACTGAAATAAAATAATAATAACAATAGTTTATGTACTGGGCATGACGTCCCATGGTATGGAATATCCCTTTGGCCAGTTGGGGTCAGCTGTCCTGGCTGTGCCCCCTCCCAGCTTCTTGTGCACCCCCAGCCTTCTCAGTCGGTAGAGCGTGGGAAGCCAAAAAGTCCTTGACTGGTGTAAGCACTGCTCAGCAACAAGTAAAACATCGGTGTGTTATCAACATTGTTCTCATCCTAAATCTAAAACACAGCACTGTACCAGCTACTAGGAAGGAAATTAACTCTATCCCTGCTGAAACCAGGACATCTGGGCAGCGTCTGACCAAAGAGGTGTGCTCTGGGTGCCAGCTTGGTTGTCCGCTGCTGCTAAAGCTGCCCAGGCACTGACCGCCCAAAGATGCACTGCCAGAGCTTTGGTGCCGGTCAGACAACTTGTGGGATGGATCCTTTGCTGGGATAAATTATCAAGGCTGCCGTGAAGTCCCTCAGTGTTGCAGTTTGTTGTCATTCTCCTCTTCTCTAAGCCCATTGCATACAGCCAAACAAGATTTATATTCTTGCGGCTGCTTACCCAAAATCCTATTAGAGGGCAGTTTCCTGCAGAGCCCAGGGAGAGCTTCCTCAGACCAGCAGGAGTGTTTTATTTCTCTTCCCTGGCTTTTTCCACTCTCCTTTTGTAAACAACTCCCACCATTGACAGGGGAAAGATAATTCAAATAAGAAGTGCTGCACTTGTACCACTGTTAGTTTGAGCTAATATTTTACACGCCAGGCTAAGCAATAATTATTTAAATGACAAATAGCTTTGATTTGTCGTCGGAGGACATTTCACCGTGTGCTCAGGAAAAAAGATTTCTGTAACTAATGAAACAAAAGAGCACATCACCAGCCTGTTCTTTAAAATATTTTAAATACAGTGGGGGAAGGAGCATAACTGACAACCAGACAGGCAGCTACCACTTGGAGCATTAAGTCCTGAGAACTGAATGTGGCTCAACATTGCTCTTTGTGAGTGAGGGGGAACCAGAGACTTCCTCGGGTTGGGAGCAGTCAGAGTTCTGTGGCACCTGAGGCTGAACAGAGCCAGCGTTTCTGCAGAGGCAGAAGGCAGCAGCCACGGTTTCCTGAGCGGGATTGTGGAGAGGTTTGATGTCCATGGAAACTCCCCCTCATATGCTGAGCACACCAGCAGTACTAATGTATAGAGCTTCAGTTTCTCCCCACGTAAGACACACCAAAAGGCAGGAGGGTGGTTTCAGTAGGACATCTGCCCTGCTTCTCCTTCAAACATCACCACCTTCTGTTTTGTGTCTGGCTTCAGTGGCTGCAACACGGCCGCTCTGGCCGGGGCTTGCAGGTTTTGCCTTTCAGAGACAGAGGGCAAATCAGGCACATCTGCTCCTGGAAGAATTTCACTGCTCAGGCAAGGGGGCAGTTTCTTCCAAACAGGATGTGTCACAGTAGAGGTTTCAACAGGTGAGAAAAAGAGAAAAAGCAGCAGCAAGAAAACAGGTCAAGCACTGATGGTAAACAAGACTGAGACTGGCCAAGCAACGTCATTAAAAAAACACCAAACTGACTAATGTTTTTTTTTTCTTTTTTTATGACACCAAGTTGCTTGAAATCCGGTACTCTGGGATGTGCCAGTTCTTGCAATTTCTTTATTTTGTTCTTGTTTCCTAGTTATAACATGCTTGTTCAATGTACTAATGCTGGTCTTTTCCCTTTCTACCAGTACACCTGTAAATTACTGTCTAGCAAGGTTACTTCTGAGGTACTTTTCAACTGCTTATTTATTTTTGCTTCCTCTTGCATGGTGATTCCAAGTGCATGTCGCTGCAGTTGCATTTTCATGCTGCGTGCCAGTGCTGTTTCATATCAAAACCAGGATGCAAATGTGTGTGTGGGATATTCCTTCTTATCTCTCATCAACAAATATTTGTGTGGCTGGTTTTCTAACCCTCGGATTCTAGTTACAATTTCCGACATGGGAGGGGTTGTAATTAAAGGGATGGGAGCTGTTGCCCAGGACTGGAGCATTCCTGAGGCGTGAAATGAGAACTTCTCCTTAATCCCTGTTACTGTTTAGCTGGCAAAGCTAAACCTGGGATCCAAGCATTCTCAGATGCTGAGTGAAACTTCTGTGGCTTTCCTTTGTCTCTGATTACAGTGTATTTATCACTATCAAAACCTCTAGTATTCAGTAAAGAATCCACACACCAACCTTTCATCTGTGGAAGAAGAGAGTCAGATCCAAGTGCATGGCCTCAGTCTGGTGAATTTTGTGAACCTGTCCTTGTCCCTGTGTGTTGTGATGTGATGACTGATCACAGTCCCACAACTTAGCATCAATGTTGGTCTTCATCAGAGCAGAAGAAACCCAGACCTTCTAAAGAAAGGGTATTTACAGTGACATTTGGTATTTTAGCAAGGCAATAACTTGCACAGTCCTTATCCCTACAAAGCTTGACTCTGCCAAATGCAACAAATTTTAAGAGCAGGGAGTTAATACCAACTACATTTTTGCAATGTTTGTAGGAACAACATGCTCAATAACGTGGATATTTCAATTGCCTGTTATTTTCTGTGCAGACATATGTGTAAATCTGGACTTTTCTAAAAGACACAAAGAGATTGTGGTAATGACTGACATTCATTCATCCAGCATCAGTGTATTTTTTTATAAACATGAACCTTCCACTATTTCCCTATTCCATAACGTATTTGACCACATCAGCTACCTCAAGACAAGTATATGAACATTTTCTGTCCTGGAGAGTAAAGCAAAGTCAAGTTATGCCATTTCCTATTCATTAAATAAGTTAGTGTGGGTTTTATCTCACTGATACAAGCCAGTGATTGGTCTTTGTATAGAGTAGTTATAGAG